CTTCTAGCATCGGCTCACCTCCGTCCCTCCACCAATCGCGAGCCACCCAAATAGGGTGACGGGATGCCACTGGCCCCAGCCCTGGACCGTGACTCCCAGGCCCTTCTTCCCCATGCCGGCATGGGGAGAGACAGGTGCCCTTCATTCAGACGCAGCCTCCCCAACGGAAGGCAAATCTTACACATGGATTTAAAGGTCGCCTTGAGCTGTCCATAGAACGATGCAGATAATGAGATGTGCAGACACACAGCAGTGACATCCTGGAGCCAGATTTTCCATTGATATATATTTCCCCCCCTTCCCTATTTTGAAAAAACGAGCAGCCAGTATGCAGAGCGGGTGGGGGTGGGGTGCGCGTTAAGTAAAAGAAAACTTGCCCTTTCCACCCTGCCATGCCTTCCCTCCCGAGGCAACTTAGAAAGCCCCCTCAGATACGTGGAAAACGTGGCCAATCGGCCCCCAGCTCTTTCCAACGAAGGAACCAAACTCCAAACCCTCTAGGACCGGGCCAGGCAGAACCGCCCCCCACTCACGGCGACCCTTTAGGACCGGGCCAGGCAGAACCGCCCCCACTCACGGCGACCCTTTAGGACCGGGCCAGGCCGAACTGCCCCCACTCACGGCGACCCTCTAGGACTGGGCCAGGTAGAACCGCCCCCACTCACGGCGAACCTCTAGGACCAGGTAGAACCGCCCCCACTCACAGTAACCCTATAGGACCGGGCCAGGCAGAACCGCCCCCCACTCACGACGACCCTCTAGGACTGGGCCAGGCCGAACTGCCCCCGTGGGTTTCCAAGGCTGTAACTCTTCATGGGCATAGAAAACACCAGCTAGGAGGCGGCAGGGATGGCGTCTGTCTGTTTGGGGAGGGCAGCTCCCTTGCTGCGTCCCTGTCACCTTTCATAGCCAGCCCGGGCCTGTGGGCTCCAGCACACCCCTCCCACCTCAGCCTCGCCCTGGCTCCCATCACAACACACGCTGGCACCTGTCACGGGTCTCCTGGGTGCCAGTCTACCGCCCCTCCTGCACTGTGAGCTTCTACACCTGCTCTTGCTCTACCCTCAGCACCAGGGTCAGTGGTAGATATTCCACAAAAACGAACGCATTAATGAATGAGGGAGCCAGGAAGTGTGTGAGTGAGTATGTAGGGGGATGGATCAATATGTGCATGCTGGGCAGGAGAAGGAGAAGACTGAGCCAGTGGACAGAAAATGGCTAGATGGAAGCCAGGACGAAGCCTCTGCCTTGTCGTGTGGATGACTGCGCGATTCCTCCAGGGTCCAGCACTCTCCCCATCACAGGCGGACCAGGGGACTTGGCAGAAGTGCTATCTGACCTGTGCAAAATCCACCCCAGCGCCAATGGATCAAGAGGCAGTTTGGCTTTTGTTTTCCTCTGACTCGTCACAACTGCCTCCAACTAGATCCCTGAGCCCAGCCATGCCCTACAGAAAGGTGCGTTGGAATGAGACAGCTTTGAGGTGTGTTTCTGGACTTCTGGGACAGCCGGGATTCTGCCTCTCTGCCCCCTCCCTAATCCCTGGAGCTCCCACACTTACCTTCGAAGCTCCCTGCAAACAGGTAAATCCAGGTGATGGCTGGGATGCAGAGAAGCGTCAGAGAGGCAGCCAGGAATTTCCGTCTCCCTCTGCAGATTCCCAGCATCCTCTCAGGAGGGGCAATCCCTAATCCCAGCGCCGAGTCTCTGGCCGGAGCGTGGAGTCCTCGGCCTCCCTCATAGTACTTTCTGAAAGAAAGAGCAGGGGGAGAGAAGGGCTGAGTCAGGAGCACGGGACACGGACACAAGCTGACCAGGAAAATGGGCTCACAGTTCCCACCTGCCCTCTGGGTCCACAGGTGACACTGCGGCCTTCCGAGCGAAGGCAGTTCTTTGAAAATAAAAGATGAAGACACAAAGGTGCCCACTCGTGTTTTACAGCATGAATGCTGGCTAGGGGGCCTTGATGGACACACCTCTGTGAAGGAGCCTTTCCCTAGCATCGTGGTTCTCAACCTGTGGGTCGCGACCCCTTTGGGGAGGTCAAACGACCCTTTCACAGGGGTCATCCAATTCATAAAGGTAGCAAAATTACAGTGATGAAGTAGCAACAAAAATAATGTTATGGTTGGGGGTCACCACCATATGAGGAACTGTATGAAAGGGTCTCGGCATGAGGAAGGTGGAGAACCACTGCTCTAGCACTTCTTAGGCGCCGGGAGTCCCTGGGTGGGACGGTGGTGAGCAGGCCTGGCTGCTAGTGGCAAGGCTGGTATCTAGGAAGAAAATCCTGGCAGTCTACTTGCTAACAATCAGCCACCGATAGCCCCATGGAGTCCAGTTCCGACGCACAGGGAGCTTCCCAGAGTCGGGCTCTATTGAACAGCAGCTGGATTTATTTATTTTTAATGTCCCAAGCATACACCAAGTGCTATGTTTGCAAAGAAGACTGAATGTATGATATGTGAGTTATCGGTTAATAAAACTGTTAACATTTTTAAAAATTAAGTTATTTTTGTTTTGCTTTCCATGCGGGGGGTGGGGGGGCGGTTAGCAGATTGACTTTTAAGAGCACTGTCTAATAAGAGACCAGACAAAAACATCCCTAGAAACCCAGAGGCGAGAAGGCTTGCAGGGCAACGTGCAGCTGGCAGAGGTGAGGACATCCTGGGCCATCGAGACGGCCTGGCTGCAGCCCCTGGTGGCAGGCACAGGACGGATGGCATGAGGTGGTGGACAGGAGACAGGACAGAAGCACACACAAGGACTGCAGACTGGCCAGGGCACAGCACCCGCCTGCAGGGGACTCAGCCTCACTCAAAGCAGAAAACCCCAAAATATGAACAGGGACTGTCTCATAGCGCCTCATCCTCATATGGGAGACAACGTCTGCCCAGACAGGCCTGGAGGGGGGCACACAGGTATTGCGTAACCAGTCGGCACAGGGACTGCCCTTAAGCCATGGCAGAAAACTGACTGCCTAGGACGCATGGGACCAGTCAAGTGGGAGGAGGGCTGGCGCTGTCACCAAGCTGGGCCCCCACTCACGGTGACCCCCGTCCCATGCACACCCAGAAGGAGGGCAGTGGGCTCCTGCGTCATACGCTCACGCGGGTTGCTTCCCGGACAATCCAACAATCTGTGATCCATAAGGCTTTCAATCGCTGATTCTCAAATGCTGATAGACTGCCCAGCCTTTCTTCCTAGTCTTAGTCTAGAAGCGCTCCTGAAACCGATTCAGTATCCTCACACCACTCAAGCCTCCCAGGTCAGCTGGATGGTACCTGTGTTTGGGATGCACTGGCCAGAAAAGGAAGGTGAACCCCCACCGAGGAAGGTAGGAGTTCTACTGTCGAGTGACCCATGCCCTTAGAGATGGAGTAGAAAAATCAAAAAATCCAAAGCCAAACTTGTTACCCTGAGTCATTCAGTCAAGCAGCAATGCCACACTACACAACAGCTCTCAGCTGCATTGACTTGGAATGCCACTATCTCACAGCAGGGAGGGGTGGGCGCTGTAAGTTAAGTGGGAGGGAGGAGCTAAACGCAAGGTTGGCAGTCCAAACAGATGAATGGCCCCCTAGTACCCTCTCTGGGCCTTGGGGTGACTTGAAAGTCACACTGAGAAGGCACATTCCTCTAAACAAAGAAGATGCTGACTCAGTCTAAACTTTGAAAAGCCACCCCACAAGAGGGAGAGGCGGCAGTCTGCTCCCATCAAGATGTACTGTCTTGGAAACCCTAAGGAGTGATTCTACAATGTCCTACACAGAGTCACTGTGAGTCAACATCAACTCCACAGCTATGGGTTTTTTAAGGGACTCGGTAGCATATTGGGTTACATGGTGGGCTGCTCACCACAAGGTCAGCAGTTTGAAACCACCAGCTGGTCCAAAGGGGAAAGATGAGGCTTTCTACTCCCATACAGATTTACAGTCCTGTGAATCCACAGGGGCAGTTCGATTCTGTCAGGGTCACTAAGAGTCAGAATTGGGTTCATGGCAGTATCAAGAAGCCCAAACCTAAAACTAAGTGCTGTGGAGTCACTTCTGCCTCAGGGAAGCGCTGGAAGACCGAGTGGAGCTGCCCCGGCGCGGGGCTGGGGGTGGGGCTGGGTGGGAGTGTCGGGGACAGGGGGTTTCCATGGCTGTGTTTCTCAGGAAACAAAGTGCCCCATCGTTCTCCAATAGAATGACTGGGGGGCTCGCAACTGGCCGGCTTTTCAGGGGTGAAGCTGGAGGCTTCCCCATGGTGACCTCGGAGTGGAGGGCCTCAGATCTTTCACCTGGCCTCAGATCTTTCACAGGTGAGTCAGAAGGAAATTTAAAAACCAATTCTATCCACCTCCCAGGCGAAAGCGGCGAGTTGGCAGTGGGCAAAGGGGAACTTCAGGAGGAGTCTCCACAGTGCAGCCCTGCCAGCGGCAGACTGCTCTGCCAAGCACCAGATCCCCAAAGAAAGGATGTCCAGGAGAGAGCTGGGCTGGGTGGCCCCTGCTCTGCCCCAGCCCTGGCGCCCACCTGATGATGGAGAGGCTAACCCACCTCAGCTGGGTCTTTCTCAGCACTCGGGCAGCTCCTTTGACCCGCAGCACATTCCCCGGGACCCTGAGGTCCCTGATGATCCTGTTACAGAAATGGCCTGGGTCCTCCCCAAAGGCAGCTGTTGAGAGTGTCCAGAGCTGGCATTCGCCAAGTCATCACCAAGAAATGGCCTAAGGAAGCCAAGTACAACTGTAACCACAGACCGCCTCCCTCTGCCGATCATACACAGCCTCTGAATGGCACAGATGAACGGCCCCCTAATACCCTCTCCGGAAAAGCCAAAAGGCCAAGGGGCCTTGGGGTGACTTGAAAGTCACACTAAGAAGGCACATTCCTCTAAACAAAGAAGATGCTGGCTCAGTCTAAACTTTGAAAAGCGGGCCATGCCCACGGACTTGGGACCCAGCAAGCATCACGGAGAAAAGGCAGGGCTTTCGCGATGAGTTCAGAGAAAGGGAGAGTTGGGAAGGCTGTGTAGGTCTGGGTTCGAATCCAGCAGCACCCTTGGCTAGCCAGGACCTTGGACAAGCCCCCTGCCTCTGGGTAAGCCTCATTTTGTTCATCTACACCAGGGGCTGAAGCTCTTTAGCTTGGAGGCGCTCTCCGGAGTTTGAAAGAGGTGTCTCTGAGAAGTGACTCCTGGGTGGGTTGAGTACCTGCGACGTAGCTTCCAGCATCACAGCAACAACACACAAACAACCACAGCAGGACATATGGCCAGGAAGTAGTACTAATTATGTGTCAATCATGTTTCTAAGCATATTTGCTTATTTAATGTTTGAAATAACCTTACAAGGTAGGGACTCTTTTGAATCCCATTTACAGAGACAAAACACAGAGAAGTTCATTAATTGGCCAAAGGTCGCACAGCTCCTACTAGGCAAACGCGCTGCAGCTCTCCCTGGGTCACCGATCCTAAGTCGTGTTTGGGGGTCTTTGGAAGCATATGGTTGCTACTGTCACAAAGTCAGACACATTGTCCCTACGTGTATCCCACACACAATGTAAGAAACACAGGTGGATTTTTTGGGGGGGTGAAGAGCAGAAAGTGGGTGTTTTGCTTGGCACTTATATAGAAATAACATCTCTAAAAGCAAAACCTACAGCGACAACACTTTTAAACCCATATCGTTCTCCTTCCTTCTCTCCATCCACAAATGTTCATTTTTGACTTACACGATGTGTCCAAACCCTTAAAATGAGAACTAGGTGGGGGTGGGCTACCTTGTAAGACAACACTGGCACCTGAAATTAAACGTGGCCGGTAACGATATTCCTCCAAGCATCGGACTTTTGTTTTGTTTTATTAGGAGCTCATACAACTGTTATCACAATCCACACAGACATCAATTGTGTAAAGCACATTTGTACATTCACTGCCCTCATCATTCTCAAATCATTTGCTCTCCACTTAAGTCCCTGGCATCAGGTCCTCATTTTTCCCCTCCCTCCCCCCCTCCCTTATGAGCCCTTGATAATTTATAAATTATTATTTTGTCATATCTTGCTTTGCCCGAAGTCTCCCTTCACCCACTTCTCTGGTGTCTGTCCCCCAGGGAGGAGGTCACATGGAGACCCTTGCATCGGACTTTTAAACAGCACCTCTGAGCCCCGAGGACGCCTCTGCCAGGAACCTCTCCGTGCAGATCAGAGAATTCTCTGGGAATTCAGAGCAGACATCAGAACAAAGAGGGGCGAGCGAGCGAGCGAGCAGCCGGCAGGCTGAGCAGGACACCCTGGGTGTGCCCGCCGGGTGACAGGGCAGCTCTCCAGGCCGACTCCCTCCACAGCGGGCTGCCAACTCAAGGGCACTTTCTCGCACAAAGCAAGCAGCTGGTGGGTTTAAACTGCTGACCATTCTGTTAGCAGCCCATGCATAGCCCCACTCCACTACCAGGGCTCCTAGGGAAAAGTACAACCAGAACGTTCCTTAGAGGCAGGGATGGTGAGCCTTTGTCTCACATACTTTGGTCCTGTGGGCTGGAGACACCATTCACGTGGAGGGCCAGTGAAAAAGGCGGCGGCCCTGGACAAGGTGGATGATGCCGTGGCTGCAACCAGGGGCTCCAACCTACAGCCAGGCTGGAGGGGGGCCGGACCGGGCAGCGCTGTTCTGCTGCATGTCGGGCAGCCATGAGCCGAAGTCAACCGGAAGGCGTCTACCAACCACAGCAGCAGAGTAAGACCGGAGAAGTCGAGTTCCCC